TATATATATCTATATATATATATATATATATCGATATTTAAACGTATATTTTAGTATGTACAACTTGAAGTCCGTATGCAGGATTACGAGCAATTCTATTCTCTCTTCAAAACTAAAGTTGTACCTTATTGTAAATCTAAAAAACGAAGATTGCTGATGCCAAATGCTTCACAGAGAAGAAAAGAGCGACTTGAAAGAAATGAGGGATAATTACATATGCCTGTATTAGTTCGCTACAATTAAAACTATATATAAGCGTATTGATAAAAAAAATCAGTTTATATTGTAGCACACACACATTCGCACGTCGATAAAATTATACATATATTCAGGGTACAACACACGCATGTACACACCTTCCTGTCGATTCAATAATCTGCCCTTGCAGAAAACACGGCTCTAATATTGATAGCTAACGATGAAGATGCACTAATTGTGCGTGTATACGCATAAATATGTACGCGATTCCTGTCGATATATCCATCCACTCTTGCCATACCCTGTTTATTCTTTGTTTGGAAAACCGTGTGATTTTGCAGAAAAAATACCTGGACCGACTTCGCAATTTCCCGTGGGACAAAACGTCAAAGGCAAAGCAGCCACACAAATTCACAATCCACTCAAGTGTGCGTAGGGTGGACTACGACTACTGTGGGTAGAATATTTAGTACTGAACTTCTGTTGCGTAGCAGTCGCGTGGCGCTCAAATTGTGGGGTGCGTCGATTTATTCCCAGAAATTTGGGTCAAATGGAAAAAATAATCCAGGCGGGAACATAGCCTCCTAAATAAAATAAAACAAAGAGGCTATGGCGGGAAACTGAAGTTTCAAAGTAAAGATTGTTTCTTTTGTTTTTGTTATTTTTGTAATATTGTTTTTAAAAAGAAAACAAAAATAAATACACAGAGGCGGCCTGGGGCCGAGCCGGCCCTGGGGTCTGGGACCTGGGCCGGGGCGGCTGGGTCACTGGACTCTTGAGTCTGGGGAGTGGGGAATCCTGGGTCTCTGGGGCTTGGGAGTTGGGAGTGTAAATATATATAGTGTACCTACTATTAAAAATATATGTATTTATTTTATGTGTATATGTATATGAAATTATATTCCGCTAAATACCGAACTTCTATCATGTTTACGAGTCGCGTGAGAAGAATACCGCCAAAACCAAACACGATAAATACAAACTCTTGCACTGTACACACTTTACAGACGAAATACACACTCTATTGATAAAATCAATGTCTGCAGTCTACACTCTACCCTTAGTCGATAGTCCTATTTTATTTTTCTAAATTTCAGTGTCGTGTGACGTGTGACGTGTCTCGTACTCTCGTTGTTAGGATATATATTCATATATATATAACGGGAGCATACACACACACACTTGTAGAAGCAGATAACCAACAAGCTTGCAGTAGGTCAACAACAAGTGGTGTGCACTGTAGTGTCGTATTGTACTGCATTCCAATTCGTCGCCATGGATGATGCCAAGCGCATGCTCGATGAGCTCATGGGCCGCAGTCGAAACGCAACAGAAACTGAACCTGTCAAAGAGATAAAGTTCACTGATTCAGAGGTATGTAACTTTTCCTCGGACGAGAGAGGGAGAATGAATGTGCGTGTGCGTGTCTGCATGTGTATTGTATGGGGCTGTAGGAATGTGCACTTGCTATATCATTGAAGACGATGATACTTTTGTAATTGTGATTGAGAGACACGAATCGTTCGTCTATACTCTATAGCACAAAGTACAGACACCTGTGCGATATGTATCTCTGTATGGGGCTGCTTTCGTTGTTACATTAAAGCAATTGTATGGATAAACTAACGAAACGCTGTAAGTAGATATGATATATATATGTGTGTGTGTGTGTGTATAAACGTGTGTTTTTGTGTGTTTGTGTGTGTGTGTATATATATATATGTGTGTGACATGCATATATATGAATATGATATGGATACATCTTTGTGTATATATTGTGAGAGGATGTGTTCGGAGAAACATTACTTGGCAGTATTCGTACGCGTTTGCTTTATTTAGATGTACTTGCACATGTTTATATATTTATATGTGTGTTTGTGTTTGTGTTTGTGCATACATGTGTACGTTAATATACATATGCAACCTTAGGCATCCTCGTATTCAAAACTTGTAATTCCAAACTATGTCACTTATATTTATTACTATCTATTGGTGAATACAGCTATATGTTGCTTTCCTTTTCTATTTCGATGTACGCCCGATTGATTTAAATTCCAATACACACTCATTCCGTTGGACTAAATTATCGTCTGTAGTGTAGCTGAATCCGCCCACATGTATACCATAAAGAATCTCGTTACCTAGGTACCAAAGAAAAGATCTGACGTGACTGTCGTTTTCCTACTCACAATCTAGGTCTGCAAGTATTTCCTTGTCGATGTCTGCCCTCATGATCTATTCACGAATACCAAAGGCGACCTGGGTGAGTGCTCTGGGCAACACCACACAGATCTCAGGGAGAAGTACAAGAAGAGCTCTCGATATCGTGAGTTGGGGTATGTATGTGCTACTGGATGAAGCATGCTCAATATGGTTGTGTGTGTACATGTATTTGTGAATATATTCTGTATGTGTGTACGTGGTGGGTGTTTGTCTTACAATCACCATCTCTGTATATAGAGCGTTTTCCTATGCGTTAGCATCGGCCAAGAAAAAGGCAGCGTTGTTAGTTGTGGTGTAGAACGTGGACCCCGGATGTATGTATCATTTCTCAAAGCGCGCATAACGTTTATTGCACAACCTCGATTGTGAACGCAATTTTGTGTAGGCACTCGCTATCGCATGTGAACGGGAAGGGCGAAGACAAAGGTATCATGGTAGGAGTATTGCACCGATACCTGCCTCGCTCGCTCACACAACCCCACACGTGGTGCACTCGCAGGTACGAAGACATGTACTTGCGCTACTTAACTGCGCTTATTGTCAAAATGGACCGTCGGATTAAAGAGGCTCTGGCGCGTCTTCAGCCGCCCTCAGAGATCTCCGCAAACAACCTGGCCATCATTGCGGAACACGAGCAAAACATCAAGGAGAGTGATGACATGATTACAGAGTTGCTGGAAACGGTACGTATTTCGCTTGAATCTCGGCGCATAGTTAGCGTGATATGATTAAGTTGCATGTGTATCCTCCTGTGTTGTGTCTTATGTCAATGACTATCGTTGGCTGTGGGAGAGCAATGTACGAGTGGCACCTTTCAGGGTCATTTCACTGTGGCCTGTATTGGAGGACAGTATGGGTATCTGCTTGTTCATGCATAGCTGCACAAGCAGAAGTGCACATGCGACGCTGATTTTTTATATTAGCCACACACCCAGCTATGCCTATCTTAGAAGCTACCTTCTTTCGTTCAAAGTGCGAAACACAAGTAAACAATTGATTGTATGCGCGGTTTAACAAGTATCGGATACGCGTTTATTTATTATATTGCCTTCATCTGGCTGAAGAAAGTCTTGGAGTACATCTCAGCAATACATCAAGTAAATACTGTATGTGCATATGTATACTTGTATATACTTTTATGCGAAGACGGCTTTGACACACCATTTGATATGTAATCTAACGTTCAAATGCCAATTCGCAGGCCGAGAGATTGGGTGAAGAAGGCAAGGTTGATGAGTCACAGGCACTCATGGAGAAGGTCGAGGCTGAACGCTCTGAACAGGGCAAGCAGAAGGCTGCCATTCAACGGATCCACAACAACCATTCAAGGGTGTGTGATAGAAACGTGCGATCACCGTCATTGCACGAAATTTTTTTGGTAGATATTTACAAAGTGGGTTAAAGGCGTGTGAGGCTGTTTGACGTAGGGAATAGTAACATCGAACTGGGGCGAAGCTTAATATGGTAGTAGTACGTATTATCAAATTTCTTCCGCATTGCATTTTTTTAACCGCTATAAGTATATGCGGTGGGTCGTATGAACTCAAGTTGCGTGGTAACGACGTGCCTGATGTGGTCGAAATCATTTAAACTCGTCAGACAAATTAACGCTTATATGATGGCCCAGACTTCTCGAAAATCTGTGCGACTCCTATCGCATACATGTGCTCGTACAGGGAACCCTTTTATATTCGCTCGCACGCAGTCATTTTATGGTCGTATATAACTATGTGTCACAAACCCTTAATCTCGTCTTTCCTCTGCTATTTTTTGTATGTCCGTGTTGCTAGGACTTGGATGTTCGCACCACTGTGTGTGATGTGTGTGGGGCGATGCTGAGTGTGGGTGAATTGGACCAACGCCAAAGCAGTCACATGCAGGGCAAGAACCATCTGGGCTACGCTCTCATCCGTTACAAGATTGAGGAGTACAAGGTGCGTCTATATACTTTGTCCAAACAAGTAGCAGTTATAACACGTTTAGTGATATGATTATGTGATCCATTGTCAAATTTTGTCGCCTGTATTTGAAACTTTCTGTGGCTTATAATCACAATTGAATCCTCCCTGCGGTTTGGCCCAAACTTAATATGTTAGCTTGGTGATCAACACATCTCCGATCCCGGATACAATCATTCCTGCTTTTTGGACCCGCAGTGTGTGCTGTGTGTTATAACATCGTATTCGCAAACTCGTGTATGTATGTGTGGATGTATGTATGTATATTTGTCTGCCTGTAATGCCTGAAAATGGCCAGCTATGCATCGCGTGATCTTCTAGTGTTGCAGCTGCGTGTTCGCAATAATGTGATGCTGCTTATATAGGAATTCGTGTTTCCAATGTGGGGTGTGCGTACATCTTTTGATGCTCGATCGAGTAGAGCAGATCAAATACGTGTGTGTTGTATTGTCCTCCGAAGGTATACTAGTTAGGATGTCCTTGCGATATGTTACTTGCGTGGCTGACGGAAACTACACTACCTCTGTACGGTCACTCTGATGCAAAGGCCTTGTCGTATCGCATAGAATAGATGGCGGTCTAGAACTTTGTTTTTTTTGTTTTTCGAAAAGCTCGATCTCACCATCTCACCCGTAGTATGCGCGTGATTGTGCGTATGGCAAATGTTCAGCATGCTCTGTTTCTGTTCGTGTGCTTGAGCTCTTGCTGTTGTTATTTTTTTGTTGTACTTAGTGCAATCAATCATCGGACGTGGAATGCCTTCGATTTTCAAAACATTTAGCTCTCACATCGGACGATATGTATGTATGTATGTATATATAATTATATATATCAGTATTGCATATATATCGCCAAGCGTACACGGTAGTCTCTTGGCCTATACATACAACTATTTACCACCTTATGCCGCGATTTGCTGTACAATGGTTCAGTCAGACTTACGCTGCTTTCTTTCCACCTGGTTCTGTTTTGTTGCTTTTTTAGAAAATATGCGACGAAAAGCTGACCAAAGAACGTGACGAACGGTACAGCAAATCCGGTGCCAACGCAGTGGATGTAGGGGCCGGTAGTCGCGGTAGAGACAGGGATAGTCGCAGGTCATCAGCCTCGCGCAGAGATGACCGGTACAGTCGAAGTAGGGATAACGACAGAGATAGGGACAGGGACAGAGATCGGGATGGATATAGTAGTCGGCGCCGTGAGTCTGATAGAGATGTGTGTAGACGTGATAGTTACCGAGATAGGGACCACAGGGGAAGAGAGGGCGACCGCGGTAGGTACTCGCGAGACTCCAGGCGAGATCGTGACCGAGATAGTGATAGAACACGGGATGATGAGAAACCAAAGGACAGGGACAGAACAAGAGAGAAGGAGAGTGATAGAACACGAGACAGGGACCGTGATAGCGAGAAAAAGTGCGAAGCCCGCCCCAAAGAAAAATCTAGATCCAGATCTAGATCGAGGACTCGGTCCAAGTCAAGGTAGTGTCGCGTGTTCGTTAAGTCCGATATATATATATATATGTACTATAAGGCAATAATCTACATGCCTGGGGGATGAGCGTCGCTGCCGGAGTTTGAGATACACTCGATGTCAAACTATGTGGCTCATATAGTACTCGTGAGCTGGCACATTTAGAACGAGCTTTCAACGCAGTGAGAGGTTGTTTGGAATGCGCTATATGTGCATGTCGTGCTAAGCTCGTATGTTCGCAGCCGAATATACCGCCATATACACTCGTTCGTCTTTCACTGGTCGTCTACGATTTGACGGTGAGTATGACATCCGCTGCTGGAACTGATGGTGTATGTCGGCGAAGCAAGGTAGATGATGCTTGTTTGTGGACGGATGCTCGTTTGAAAGTAAAATATCGTTGGTACACTTTACGCACATATTAAAGTACATGTCTAAGTGGCACTTTCAACGCATAGTCAATCCACCACAGGTCGTCATATATGTACAAGCCGATAGCGGAAGGACCCACGGTTGGAGTTTGAGCTGTTTGTCTGGAATTAAGGTAGTTAGAAACTTTGCACGTCCATTTTTGTTTGTATCAAACTGGGGAGCACTGATGAATTCTTTTGCCCGCGAATAATTATATATGTATACGTCCCAAAGTTATGCTTCATTGTAGAACAAGTATGGAGCCTCACGATCGCATTATATGCTACTTGCCCCACCCACCCCCCCCCCCCCACACACACCCACCCGGGTGAGTCAAGGTGGTTGGATGTATATTTGCAAATCGTTTTCTTTTCTTTTTTGACATAGAAATGTATAGGAATCATTGCGTATACTTTGTTATTATCATTAATCGAGGATATGTCGAACCACAATTGGAAGTGTCTTAGCTGGACAAGAAAATTACCATCGGATTTACGTCGCCATGTAAGGTAGCTGTTTGGAAGTATGCCTTGTTACACCTATATGTACCCTTCTTCTCGTATCCGGGTGAGTCAAGGTGGTTAGATGTATATTTGCAAATCGTTTTCTTTTTTTTAGATAGAAATGTATATGAATCATTGCGTACACTTTGTAGTATTCGAGGACATGTCGAACCACAATTGGAAGTGTCTTAGTTGGACAAGAAAATTATCATCGTATTTACGTCGCCATGTAAGGTAGCTGTTTGTAAGTATGCCTTGTTACACCTATATGTACCCTTCTTCTCGTATCCTGCTTTAGCGTTACCTGTTCTATGACTGGCGAATACGCGATTCAATCTCGTTGCATTGATTGCAAATTTGCTCGAACGACCCAATGAAAACTTATGCTGTGCGGACAGGTATTGTGCTTTGCGCTCACTGCATGGTTTCCAACACTGCTATTGCGATTTGTGAGGATTTCAGCCGTTCCATTCACAGTGTTATGAACCCCTATGGAGCACACGATCACGTATACTGCAAACAAGCATCGGCATCGATTTTGAAAGCAATATCATGTGCCGGAATGCTCTAGATGAATCCAATCCGCAAGACGCCACGAATGTCACAGAGTAGCCGCGGATTGCTACAAGCTGCTGTACGCGTATGAGCGTATATGTACATGTATATGTATGTGGGTGGGTGTCTTTTTTTTTAAACAATTGTGGTGTATATATATGTGGGTGTGAATATATTCTTGTGTGTTGTTCAATATGTACCTTGTTGGTAAATCGAATGACAATTTTAGAAATTAAATTTTACATAAGACGAATGTTATGCGTCTGTTTTGATGCGTAATAGCTGGTTTGCAATGTATATGGTTTGTACAAAATGAAAGTGATTGGTTGATGGACTTCGCAGCATGGTCTAAGTGGGTCTATCAGCAAAGGGAATCAGGATGGCTAATATGTGCTCCTTCCGGTAGTTGCGCAACCTGATCCCAGCTGATGGGTGTATCTTGCCCCCTGAGGACTCGGGTCTATACAGGGAGGGGATGTGTTGTATACGGTGCGTCCCTCTAGGCTTTATCAAATCTAGAGGCGTCTCCGCAAGGTACATCTTGAGATGATTGTGACCAGTTATATATACATCCATAGTATATATGTGAATTAGCGTATATTTCTGGCGAAAGAATCTACCCTAAGTTCCTGGCCTACTGTACGGAACTGCAGAGTTTTATATCATTGCAATAAATTAAATTTGTTATTGCTGTATCATTGTCTTTATTGTATTTCGAAAATTTGATTTCAAATGGACTAACCTCATTTTAAGTATTAGTGGAAGATCGTTTGCTACGGTTCATATAGCTGCTTCAAAGCTCGCCTATATCTACGAGGGATCATCACAGGGCAGTTTCCCATATAAATCGTATCTCCATAATATATTTCTTTGGGCCCATAACATGGAGGCCGAGATGGTCTAAATTAATGAGAATCTGGCCGCCTGGCTCAATGAATTCGGCCGGCCTGGCTCAATACCAACAACAAATGGAGGGTGCAAGCATTGCACAGTACCAGCAGCAGATAACTGAGGTGCAACAGCAAATACAGCCACTATTAGACAACCCGCAACGAGTGTATTTTCTGTTGCAACTCATCTATCTCCTGTTGGTACTGTGCAATGTTTGCACCCTGCACTTGTTGCTAATTAGCTACTTGTTGTTGATTTTGAGCCAGCGGCCATATTCTCCTTAATTTGCACCAGGCCGGCCTTCATGTTATCGGGATTAGTGGAAGTTCGTTTGCTACAGTTCATACAGCTGTTTCGAAGCACGCCTATATCCACGAGGGCTCATCACAGGGCAGTTTCCCATATGTATCCTATCTGCATAAGGTATTTCTTATTAGAACTAGTTGTTCATACGTTGTTATATCCTTCCTTGTTTGATTACAAAGGCAGACATTCTCATAGATAAACATCTATGACAATAATCTACCGATATCCGTCACTTTTCAGGGATGAATATAGTATTTATGAATTAAAAGTAAGCAGCGGTCGGTTTTGATCCGACGTCCTCGAGGTTATGGGCCTCGCGCGCTCCCTCTGCGCCACGCTGCTGAGATACTGAGCTAGTCAGGATATTAGATATTTTCTAATAAACTATATATTATCATAGACAAAATAAAATTGTTGGTCATGTGAACGATTGTCTGTACCGATTCACATATTTTTTAATCTGAGGGGGAACACGTACTTGATATTTGACGAAATGCATATAAGTACGAATCCAGGGCGCGATTGTTTGTGTGATTTTCAAGGGCATCGACCAGTCTATGGATGCTACTGTTATCTGCAATTCATGAGTCTAAACATACAAATACTGCACTAAAGCCCCCTTCCAATCCTCTTTGTTTATCTTAAATTTACATGGGCTTTGATTATGTGCATACAAATATGAGTTTCCTTCAGATACTTTTGGCTACTTGCAAGTGCCATCATTTATACAGTGGACCAAGATGAATTTGAAGAAAACCTCGTAATACAAGCATTTCATGAGCACATATATTGGAATGCCTTTTAAAGGCTGAGGTTATCCATATATTCAATATGGGTTTCTCGAGCTGACGAGCAGATCGAAGCGGTGTTCTTACTCGCGCCCAAGGTGTTTCATGAAAAATGATTGCTTAGGTAATTTGTGCTACGCTGCTATTCCAGCTAG